TAACTCCATAGTGATATTAGACATAAGACTATTGTGAACACTAGCGGATTCTTGGAGAACCTGTACACAAGCACCACCACTAAGATTGTACTCTTGTTTCAACCATGGTAGGCAACCCAAAGGTCTCAAATTTCCTCCCTCCCATTTCATATATTTCCTTCATAAAAAAGAGGGAAAAAAAAAAAAAAAATCTAAAGAAGAATAACATGGGAAAACCTCAATAATAGAAGTTTATTGAGATGAATTTTACCTTAATCGCATCTGTAAAATTGCCAATCACCATGTTTACATATTCCCGTTGTTGTAATTCGGTAGGATTAGGAGTTATGTTGATGAAAGACAAGTAGTCAGCACCTCCAAAGCTAGACAAATAGATTGCATTGGCTAATATGTTTTTGGCCTCTGCATCTCCGAGTTGTTGTTTCAGTAAATTGGCCACCTCCTTAAAATAGTTTAGCTGTTTTTGGCTGTAAAGCTATAAAAATTGAAAGCATTGTCAAGATATATTTTGCCCCAATAATAGTAATTCATTTGAATAAAATGTTGTACATACCTTATTTGAACTACTTTCTTCAAGAACACCAACTCCGACACCTGCAAAATTAGCTCTCTTGCTAAAATTATGACTTCCAGGTTGTAAGTATGGTTCCCAGAGCGGAAAATTTAAGTACATTGCTGCTTTATTTAATGAAACAATACTATTAATTCTGAGATGGATCGACATACTCGTAACTCACTAGCTAGCAACCACACCAGCAAAGTTAGGGACGGTTCGGCCATCGTAGAATCTTCCAGTCGGATATTTGAAAAAACTCTCTCCATATGGTGTAAAATTCGCCTTGCCTTCAATGCTAAAATAGAGATAGTTATTGTTTCCTGGATTGAAAAACAAATCTCCAAACACAAGGATGACAACATGTTTGTTAAAATGTTTTAAAACCTAGCTCGGCCCAGTCGGTTGAACCGGGACCCGTAAGCTTCAACGGGCCAAGTTTATGTTTTTCCTATTCACCCAAAACCCTAGGGTTTGAGAGGATGATCTGCGAACAATTGACGGCCAGGATGTTGGGGCTTTTAAATAGAAACTGTCGGTGAATGCAATGGTTGTGACGATGTTGATTTTCAGTGAGTGAATCGACCGGAAACCGAACAAAACTAGCAGCGGCAACAACCTGCTTTTGCAGGCGATTGGTGAGGCTAACAGGGGTGGGGTGAGGTGGGTTTTGATCGGGAGGAAAAGGGGAGTAATTTCTGGGTGATGGGGAGGGTTGTCGACACCGGCGTTGATGAGATTTGGCCGAAATCGAGCCTATTTCGACCAGATCTTGGGTATATTTTAAGGGGAATGGGCTCAAGGGATGATTGGGGTTGCATCTGGGGAGTCACCGCCACCAACCAGTCGTCGGCCAATTTGTTCGGGTGTGTTTGCTAAATTTCAAACCTATAGGGACGTAACGTAATTTTTAGGGGTGTATTTATTGAATTTTAAAAGTTTTTATTAACTAGTTTAACCGACGGTCAAACCGGTTAAATCGGTGAACCTAAGACCTGACAACTTTGTCGAGTTTTACCTTGGGTTGGGTTTTAAAATATTGGTTTGTTATTAGCTTGCCTAGACTCATCGCCCTGAGAGCTTGCTGGAGCAATAAGAAGGCTAGAGTACAATGGAAACATTATGTAGAGAAGACTCCATATAGATGTAGCTGCCCGCCAGTTCCATTTTCCTTTAAGAATTCTATTCCACGAAAGTTTGCTTTTCACCTTTTTTTTTTTTTCTTTTTTTTTTAATCTTGGAAATATTATCACCTAATCAACAAAATTTGTATGCGTATAGTTGCCCACAACTAACAGTCTTGAAAGTTTGGAAGGACATGTGTCAATTTCCTACCTTGAAAAGGAGAGAGCAAGGTACAATTATACACCATGTAAATGTGTGCCACATTTTGTATAAATTGTTTGTATGAATACATCTATCTTTTTTGTAGAGGTCAGCATCAGATCGAGATGAAGTCCATATAAACAGTCATCAAACTTTTTTCTTATTGAAAATTAAAAAAATTCTAACCTACATGAGAATTTTCTTGAATTGTCAAAGGTCCATATCTAAGTTAAATTTTTTTTTATTTTTTTTTATTTTTTTTTATTTTTTTTACCAAACTTCACAACAAAAGAGTTTTTAGTATATTTATGTAGTGGGGAATTAATATATTGTAATAACTCGTATTTTATGGGATTTTATTAAAGTTTATTTTATTTATTTTGGGGGTGATTTGTAAGAAATTGAAACTTTTCAGGGTGTTAATTTGGCAAGAGGACTTGAGTGCAAATAAAGGTGTAGAATTTCCAAGGGGCAAGTTGAGCGGTATCAAAGATGAGGAACTTTTCAGAAATTTGCCAGCAGGGACTTTGGCCTCAAGTGAACTTTCCCGGACACTATATAAACCCATTTTAGTTCATTTTGTTTTTACAACAAATGAACGATGAAGCAGAGTTGAGTGGTGGAGAGAGTAAGCCGAGAAGAAGTTAGCCTATGTTGTTTAGTAGGTTTGACCTTCAATTAAGTATCTAGTTGGAAGTGACAATACATATATCAAGGGATATTTATGCCCGCAAGTTGCCGGCTAACAATCTCGCGTCGTAATGGAGTTAGCACCATACAATTATAGGGTCTATAGACCATAAATTGAAGTTTACTTTCTTATCTCTCTAAAAAATATCCCTTGATATAAATTACAGTAAATTATTGGCATGATATAAATTACAGTAAATTATTGACTAAGCATAAGATATGTGGCTATAGTCTGCCCAATTTAACTTGATGGGTTACATGGAAAACGAAAGTTTATCTTCTGATAAAATCTCAATGGCAATGGTTGAATTGAGTCCATAAAGTTGCTTCATGCTAATAGGCCATGTAAAATTTGATCCTCCATTCCACAAGAAGTTGGATAATATAGAATTAGCATGTTCACATTGATGGCCTCCATCGAAATACAGATACTCATTAGGATCACTACATAGTTCATATTCTTTTACTTTTCCGCAATCAGAACCACGATCTAAACCGATTCCGCAACATGCAATGTCTGACACATTGAAGCCTACAATAGACAAGATTTAAAGCAAAAGTTAATGAAGAGTAAGAGCTAGATTACGTCTGAGTATTTAAAATAACAAAAAAAAAAAAAAAAGACCTATATATAACGTACCATATTTTTTAGGATAATTTTTCATATCATTAAGTGAACTGAAGAAATCAAAATATACATATTTGAATCCTGATAATTGGCTTTGCAACTCTGCAGTGACATTAGATAGAAGACTATTATGAAGACTAGCGATTGCTTGGAGCACTTCTACACAAGCACCACCACTAGGATTGAACTCTTGTTTCATCAATGGTAGGCAACCCAAAGGTCCCACATTCTGAAATGCAAATTTCCTCCCTCCCATTTCATATATTTCCTTCATAAAAAATAGAAAAAAAATATATAGAAGATTAACATGAGAATACCTCAATAATAGAAGTTTGCTGAGCAGAATTTCACCTTAATCACATTTGTAAAATTTCCAATCACCATGTTTACACGTTCCCGTTGTTGTAATTCGGTAGGATTATAAAAACTTTGGATGAAAGATATGTAGTCAGTGCCTCCAAAGCTAGACAAATAGATTGCATCGGCTAGTATCTTTTTGGCCTCTGCATCGCCGAGTTGCTGTTTCAGTAAATTGGCCACCTTCTTAAAATAGCTTAGCTGTTTTTGGCTGTAAAGCTATAAAAATTGAAAGCATTGTCAAGATATATTTTGACCCAATAATAGTAATTCATTTGAATAAAAGGCTTTACTTACATACCCTATCTGGACTAGTTTCTTCAAGAACACCAGCTCCAGCACTTGCAAAATTAGCTCCGTTGCTAAAATTATGACTTCCAGGTTGTAAGTATGGTTCCCAGAGCGGTAAATTTAAGTACATTGCTGCATTATTTAATGATACAACACAATTAATTCTGAGATGGATCGACATAATCGTAATTCACTAGCTAGAACCATACCAGCAAAGTCAGAGATGGTACGACCATCGCAGAATCTTCCAGTCGGATATTTGAAAAAACTCTCTCCATATGGTATAAAATTCGCCTTGCCGTCAATGCTAATATTGAGATAGTTATTGTTTCCTGGATCGAAGAGTGAATCTCCAAACACAAAGACGGCAACATGTTTGTTATTAGCTTGCCTGGACTCATCACCCTGAGAGCTTGCTGGAGGAATAAGAAGGCTAGAGTACGACATAAGCAATATGTAGAGAAGACTCCGTATAGATGAAGCTGCCGCCGATTCCATTTTCCTCACAGCTTTTGACCTTTTTTTTTTTTTTTTTTTTTTTTAAATCCTGCAAGTATAGCGAAATAGATTAAGTATAGAACTAATTGACAACGACGTTTAACAAAATTTGAGTGCGTATAATTTCTGACAACTAACAATCATAAACGATTAGTAGGAGAAATGTGTCAATTTGGTATAACCGATTTTCTACAGTGAAAAGGGGATAGCAAGGTCCAATTATACACCATGAGTTAAATGCGTGCTACATTTTGTATAAATTGTTGTATGCATATATCTATCTTTTTTATAGAGGACAGCATTAGATCAAGATGAAGTCCATATAAACAGTCATCAGACTTTTTTCGTATTGAAAACTAGAAAAATTCTAACCTACATGAGAATTTTCTTGAATTGTCAAAGGTCCGTATCTAAGTTAAAGAATTGTTTTTTTTACCAAACTTCACAACAAAAGAGTTTGCAGTATATTTCTATCATGGGGAAGACTTCCCATGAATTAATTGATATATTCTATATATATGTTCAGTGAAAAGTCACTGAAATAAGTAACTTTGCGTACATTGCTGCACCATTATTCAAAAGAACAACAGAAAATTACTAATGGAGTTAGCACCATACACTTACAGACCATAAATATAATGTGTAATTTCTTAACTCTGATCTCAAAAATATCCCTTGATATAAATTATGGTAAATTATTGACTAAGCATAAGATATGTGGCTATAGTCTACCCGATTTAACTTGATAGGTTACATGGAAAACAAAAGTTTATCCTATGATAAAATCTCAATGGCGGTGGTGGAATTGAGTTCATAAAGTTGCTTCATGCTAAGAGGCCATGTAAAATCTGATCCTCCATTCCACAAGAAGTTGAATAATAAAGAATTAGCAAGTTCAGATTGATGGCTTCCATCGAAAAACACATACTCATTAGGATCAATACATAGTTCATATTCTTTTACTCTGCTGTATTCGGAACCATGATGTTAACCGATGCCGCAACATGCTATTTCTGACGCACTAAAGCCTACAATAGACAAGATTTATAGCAAAATTTAAGAGTAAGAGCTACGTTACGTATGAGCATTTAAAGAACAAAAAATTATGACCTATATATAAAGTACCATATTTTGTAGGATAATTTATCATGTCATTAAGTGAATTAAAGAAATAAAAAATTACATATCCGAATCCTGATAACTGGCTTCGCAACTCCGTAGTGATATTCGATAGAAGACTATTTGGAAGACTAGCGATTGCTTGGAAGACTTCTACACAAGCACCACCACTAAGATTGTAATATTGTTTCGACAATGGTAGGCAACCCAAAGGTCCCACATTTTGAAATGCAAATTTCCTCCCTCCCATTTCATATATTTCCTTCATAAAAAATAAAAATAAATAAATATATATATATATATAGAAGAGTAACATGGGAAAACCTCAATAATAGAAGTTTATTGAGCATAATTTTACCGTAATCACATCTGTAAAATTGCCAATCACCATGTTCACATATTCCCGTTGTTGTAATTCGGTAGGATTAGGAGTATTGTTGATGAAAGACAAGTAGTCAACGCCTCCCTCCAAAGCTAGACAAATATATTGCACCGGCTAGTATCTTTTTGGCCTTTGCATCTCTGAGTTGCTGCTCAGTAAATTGGCCACCTCCTGAAATAGCTTAGCTGTTTTTGGCTGTAAAGCTATAAAAATTAAAAGCATTGTCAAGATATATTTTGCCCCAACAATTGTAATTCATTTGAATAAAATGCTTTACATACCGTATCTGGATCAGTTTCTTGAAGAACACCAGCTCTAGCACTTGCAAAATTAGCTCCATTGCTAAAATTATAACTTCCAGGTTGTAAGTATGGTTCCCAGAGTGGTAAATTTGAGTACATGCTGCATTATTTAACTAAAAAACACAGGTTGTAAGTATGGTTCCCCACAACTAAGAATCTTGAAAGTTTGACTTAGCTAACTAGTTTGCTAGGACGTGTCAATTTGGTACTCTATAACCTATTTTCTACATTGAAAAGGAGAGAGCAAGGTACAATTCTGTGCCACATTTTGTATAAATTGTTGTATGAATACATCTATATTTTTTGTAGAGGTCAGCATTAGATGTAGATAAACTGATAAAGTTCATATAAACACTCATCAGACTTTTTTCATATTGAAAATTAGAAAAATTCTAACCTACATGAGAATTTTCTTGAATTGTCAATGGTCCGTATCTAAGTTAAAGAATTTTTTTTTTTTTTTTTACCAAACTTCACAACAAAAGAGTTTGCAGCATATTTCTATAATGGGGAAGACTCCCCATGAAAATTAATATATTCTATACATATGTTCAGTAAAAAGTCACTGAAATATGCCGGAAATTTGAAAGTCTCTCCATAGGGTGGGAAATTTGCCTTGTAATAGATGTTCATTTTGAGATAATCATTGTTTCCAGCATCTTAGAGTGAATCACCAAACACAAATATGGCAACATGTTTGTTATTAGCTTGCCAGGACTCTAACCTGTGAGCTTGTAGGAACCAGAAGGCTAGACAAGACAAACAAGATAGAGAGATGGATGCTTAAAGCTGACTTTGTGGTGACCATTTTTCCTCAATTCTAGCTTTGATTGTAACAGACTTTATTAATTGACTCGGGTTTATTATACTAAACTATTACACCTCAATAGTTGGTAGAAATAACAAACAATTTGCCCCTTATAATTTAAGCCACCACAATCACTGCCACACAAGACAAGAATTAAACCTACAAAAGAGATAGATTGGTTCATGTAACAGTTTGTATTATATTGAAGTTCCATAATTTCACAAGACTTCACGAAAGAAGAAGTTGCTGCGTATTTTTATAATCAGGAGTCATTGTGATAAAGTATTGTGTATTTTATTGAAGGTCTTAGTTCCACTTAATTGTAAGTCCAAGCTATGCCAAATCATGGCTAGAAGCAGAATATTGATGAGTTGAAAGGTAAGTAGCCACGTGAAGCTCGCTTATTGATCAACCGATCGCGCACATAATTCTCGAAATTAAATTTGTTCACCTAATACAAAGTTGTAGTTACATGTATTGTATTATTTTCTTTCAAGATTATTTTAAGAGTAAACGACTTTATCCCACCCAAAATACTATTATTCAAAAAGTTTATGACACTTTCTTATTCAAAACGTTTCAAAATACTATTTTCCCAGCCAAAGTTTATATTCTGTTAATACCCAAAATACACTTCACTTTCTCAATCAGCGTTCAGTGAGTTATCAAGAGCCAAGATAAGAGGGTTTTGTAAAGTGGAGGCCGGTGGATCGAATGGTGGTGACCGATTGAAGTTGCCAGAATTAGCCAAAAATCATCTAAGAATAAAAAACTTTAGCTTTGTGGTAGTCAACAATCAGCGAGAAATCAGGTGTCGGAGAGAGAGAGGGGTTTTATAGAAAAGAGACCAAAGGTTCAAATGGTAGCGACAGAGAGAATTTTCGCCGCTAGAATTGCCAGAATCGGCTTTAGGTGGTAATAAAATATTAACTTTGGGTGGGACAATGGTATTTTTAAACATTTAGAGTGGGAAAGTGTATTAAGGCAAACCTTGGGTGGGAAAAAGTCGTTTACTCTTATTTTAACTGCAAAAGATATAATTGTTATAACATGAGCAGTTCCATCAAATTTAGGAACAACAAAAAATTATGCATCAATGAAATACAATCCTTCATCTTCTGAGGAAATCTCCATGGTGTTGGTGGCGGAATTGAGTTCATAAAGTTGCTTCATGTTAACAGGCCATGTGAAATTTAATCTTCCATTCCATAGGAAGTCAGATAGTATAATATTTGCACGTTCAGTAGGATGTGATCCATCAAAAAACACATACTCGCCAACGTCACCGCATAATTCATAATCTATTGTTGTTCCGCAACCCATACCACGATGCGACTCCTTGCCACAACAAGCAACACATGATTCATTGAAACCTACGTATCACAATCACACAAAGACAAGAATTAAAGCTACATATTGAATTTACACAAACAGGTGTTAAAACAACTGACTATCTATAAAACGAACCATATTTTTCAGGATTATTTATTAATTTATCAAGTGCGTTGAAGAGATCGAAAATTAAATACTCGAATCCTGGTAACTGGCTTTGCAACTCCTCTGTGACATTATATAAAAGACTATTGTGCAAACTTGTTATTACTTGGTAATTTTCCTTACAAGCACTGCCAGTAAGGTTGTATGCTTTTTTCATCTTCAGTACGCAACTATTGACCAAGGTTGACTTTTTCATTTAAAGACAAAAGTGTAAAAAGGAGAAACGATGTCGTTTCTCTCTTTGCTTTCCTCTTTGTTTACTTTCTTCTCTCTGTCTCTCTCTCGTTCACTCACCTCTTCATATAAAAGTGAGTTAAGCTTCTCTGTAACAGTTAGCAAAACAAGCAATAATAGTGCATTCTTCTTCTCAAAATTCTTCATTTCTTTCTAAATTTCACATGGTATCAGAGCCCTAGACTAACGTCAATGGCCAAATCGTCTGAATCAAATCAGTTTGTGATTAATACGCAGCAGATATCTCAAAGTTCCAGTCACAATTTCATCTCAGCTTTTCCTTCAAGTCTTCAAGTCATAAGCCCCAAATTGACTCGCGACAATTACAGAGATAACTACCGCTTTTGGAAGTTCCAAGTAATTTCAGCTGTTGGAGCTCATGAATTAGAAGATCATCTCATAGGTTTGATTTCTTGTCCTTCTCCTTTAATTAGTGTTGAAGATAAGGTTGTTAGTGAATCAGGAGAAGTTAGTTCGAAAGATACCTTGGTTAAAGAAATAGTAAATCCAGACTATGTTGCGTGGAAAAGGACTGATAAGTTCTTAGTAACCTGGTTGTTAGCCTCAATATCTGAGTGCATGTTTTCATATATATCAAAATGTCAGTCTTCAACTGCTATTTGGTTAACACTTGAGAATGAATTCTTGAATGATTCAAAAGCAAGAGCTCTGCATCTGAAAAATTTACTGCAAAATACAGAAAAAGGAAACCTAAGTGTTAGTGAATACATTAAGAAAATGAAGGGGATAGCTGAAAATTTGTCAGCCAGTGGGCAACTAATTCCTGATAAAGATTTGCTCTAATATATTCTTAATGGTCTAGGACCAGAGTTTGATGCTGTCGTAGTTAACTTGACATCCAGGATTGAGTCCAAGTTTGATTCAGTTACTCTTCAGGAAGCGCAGTACTTACTTCAAAAGTTTGAGATGAGAATTGAAAAGTTTAATTCTATTGATTTTTAAAGCTCTGTTCATCTTGCTTCCATTAGTAATCCAGGACAACAACTGATCAGTCCAAATGTTGCTTATAATCCAGCACTTTCTCCTAACCTAATACTACAATCTGCTACACCACCACACTCCTATCCTACTAGTACTCATCCTCTTAACAATTCACTATCCCATCAATTACTTCCTCTACAACCTCATATTGCTCATCCAGAAATCAGTTCCCAATATTCCTTTCATAATTCCACTGATCATTATACTTACTTAGCTCACATAGGACAATATAGAACACCTTTTCCACCAAATAATCCATCGAGTTTTAATCAGTTTGGAAGAGGAAGAGGCAGAGGAAGAGGTACAAATAGCAAGGGAAGACCAGTTTGTTAAGTGTGTAATAAAATTGGACATACTGTAGTCCAATGTTATCACCGATACAACTCTACTTATAATGGTGTGCCACCACCTACAGGAGGTCACACTGGATAACCAACTGGTCCTATCACTCATTTTCAACAGTCCAGTACACCATATGGTCATCAGTCGAACAATCACACTCAACCACATAATGTATCACTTGGTTCTCATGCTGTCAATAATATGCAACCTCAATTTGTTCACCAACCTCAGCAAACACAATACACTGTCCCTATTGCTTATGTACCTAATCAGCAGCACATTAGATCACCAAAACTTAGCAACAACTTTCAGCCACAACAGAATTTTGCCACATCATCTAGAGTAAACTCAATTAGTCCCTCATACTCTGCTCCTGTTTCACAAGGATTCAAAGTTCCCAGTCAGCAACCCAGTGGTTCTAGTCAAGCATATATGGTTGCAACTCAGAATTATACATTTTCTGGTCCTGCTAACAAAGGATGCTCTCTGACTGTCTCTCTAGCCACTTGCCAAGATCCTGCTTGGTACATGGACTCAGGTGCAACTGACCATGTCACAGCTGACCTAAACCACCTAAACATTAGCCACAACTATGATGGAGCTAAACAACTTCAAGTAGGTAGTGGTGAGTTTCTTCATATCTATCATGTAGGACTTACTCTCTTACCTAGTACTCTTAAATCTAAATGTCTTTACCTAAAGAATGTGTTGTGTGTGCCTAGAATTACCAAAAACCTACTCAGTATATCTAAATTTACTAAGGATAACAATGTTGTGGTTGAATTTTCTACTGATAGTTGTGTGCTAAAGGATAAAATTACAAATACAGTGTTACTACTGGGAGAACTTAAAGCTGGGTCGTACCAATTGAATCTATCCTCTGTCCTGCCCTCCAACTCACCAAAAGTTTGCTCACCTTCTGTGTTTCCTCATCTGCCAATCTCTTCTGTCTCCAAGACTTTTGCTAGTACTACTAAGCCAAACTGTCCAGCATCCAGTCCATTGTTACCTTGTACCACTTTAGATAAGTCCAATAATGTTGTGTCTAACTGTTTTCGTGATGTTTGTAGTTCTTTTGTTGCAAATAAATATGCATCTAATATATCAATTAAATCAAAGGGATTAGCTTGTAATGTCAATACACCTTGCTCAAGTACCTATACTTCAGGTTTTCTTAATAAAAACTTGGATCTTTCTGCTTGTTTAAACGACAACTCTTCAATACTACATCATCACAATAATGATTGCTCACACACATCTGATAATTTTATATATAACACTACTGAACATGTGCATAATTACTTGCATTCTACTTCAGCATTGGCCAATCACACTGATTCCTCTCATGATTCTACTCTTATGACTTGGCATAATAGACTAGGGCACCCACATGCTGAAATTCTTCAGAAAATTCTCTTAGAAATAGCCAGCTTGTCAGTGTCCAGAAATAAATCTTCTATTTCTTTTTGTGATTCTTGTCAATTAGGAAAACTTCATAAAAACCATTTCCCTATCTCACATTCAAGAGCTACAGCTCCCCTAGAACTTATTCACAGTGACATTTGGGGGGCCTGCCCTAGTGTTATCTTTAGAGGGTTTTAGATATTATGTACAATTCATTGATGACTTTAGTAGATTTACATGGCTTTTTCCATTAAGAACCAAAGCTGAAGTAACTTCTGTTTTCATGAAGTTTCATCACCTAGTAAAGAGACAATTTAATCACGAACTTAAGTGTCTCCAATCTGACCAAGGGAGTGAGTATAGAGGCCTAATTTCCTACTTAACAACTGCTGGAATTCAGTTTAGACACTCTTGTGCTTATGTTCACCAACAAAATGGTAGAAGTGAGAGGAAACATAGACATGTAGTTGAGACAGGCTTAACTTTGTTAGCTCATGCATCCATGCCCATGCATCTTTGGTGGTGTGCGACACATCAGTTTTCTTAATAAATATAATGCCCTCATCTGTGTTAAATTTTGTTTCACCTTATCAAGTCTTATTTGGTCGAGTCCCTCTTTATTCCTCCTTGAAAATTTTTGGTTGTGCATGCTTTCCTTATTTGCGTGACTTTAATCAGCACAAGTTTAGTTTCCATTCCTCAAAATGTGTTTTTGTAGGCTATAGTTTAGTTCACAAAGGCTATAAGTGGTTTCCTTCCAATGGAAAAATTTTCATTACACCAAATGTCAAATTCAATGAAAATGAGTTCCCTTATATGAGTATCTTTCACCTTTCAGTTTCCTATTCTTCACCTGCCATAGTCATAGAACCTATCTTATCCAATTTTCCTTTTGTCCCTCCTTCACAATCTCCAACATCACGGAATCCTACTGTATTAAACCATACTTCTGATCCTATACTCTCCAAACCTCATTCTCAAGCTAAACATATAGATACATCTCCTCCCATCAACTCAATTCCAGCCGAAGTCTCTCCTACAACAACCTGTCCTATAATTAGTTCTTTACTAGCAGTTAATCAATATAATTCTTCCACAGCATTTGATTTTCCTACTCCCTCACCATACCCATCAGATTTACAACCTACACCTTTAACACATTCACCAGATTTACAACCTGCACCTTTAACACATTCACCAGTTTTACAACCTACGCCTTTAACACATCCACCCTACAACCTGGAAATTGACCTCAAAGATGCCCAGCCTGTTAATTCTTGTTTCTTCCCACATGTTGAAACTCCACCACTATACCATCTTGAAGTTGATTTATCTTTGTCAAAGTTTCCGTCATCCTCACAACCTTCTCTTTTCCCTACAAACACTCACTCCATGATAACAAAAGCTAAAGCTGCCCAAACCAAAACTGCCCTCCTTATAGCCAATGAATCACCTGTTCAAGCTGAACCTATTTCAGTTAAAGATGCCTTAGTCAGTGATGAATGGAGAGTAGCCATGAAGGCTGAATTTGATGCCCTTGAAAGGAACCAAACTTGGACCCTTGTTCCAACCACTGCTGATATGAACATAGTGGGGAATAAATGGGTATTTAGAAGGAAATTCAATGCAGATGGCTCCTTTCAGAAGTATAAAGCCAGGCTTGTAGCCAAATGATTCCAACAAACCCCTGGCCTAGACTACTTTGAAACATTCAACCCTGTTGTGAAGCCATCCACCATCAGAATTATCATCACACTTGCTGTTTCTAATGGGTGGGAGATACAACAAATTGACATCAATAATGCTTTCTTAAATGGCACCCTTAATGAAGCTGTTTTCATGAAGCAACCAGAGGGCTTTGTTGACTCACATCTTCCTCATTTTGTATGCAAATTAAATAAAGCTCTTTATGGTCTCAAACAAGCACCTAGGGCTTGGTTTGACAAGTTAAAAGAAGCTCTTTTAAGTAGAGGTTTTCAGAATTCCATTTCAGACACTAGTTTGTTCACTTTGCACCATGATGGCCATATGATCTATCTTCTCATATACGTAGATGACATCTTGATTACTGGCAGTCACACTCAGTTTATACATTAGTTAATTCGGGATTTGAATAGCCAATTTTCTCTAAAAGCTCTCAGTAAAGTTGAATATTTTCTTGGTATTGAAGCTTCTACAATAGCTCAAGGTTTACATCTTAAGCAAACCAAATATATCTCAGATTTGCTGGCTAAAACAAAGATGTCTAAAGCTCATCCATGTCCTTCACCGATGGCTATTGGTACCAAGCTAAGCTCTAATGACAGTGAGGTTTTTAAAGACCCCACTCTTTATAGAAGCACCATTGGCGCCTTGCAATATTTAATACTCATTAAGCCTGACATAAGCTTCACTGTTAA